CGGGGAGCGGCCCCGGCAGCGGGGCTGCGGGAGCTGCCCGGCCTCGGCATCCCGCTGCCTGCGGGAGCCTGCCCCGCCGTCCCGCGGGGGAGCCCCGCAGGAGACAAGGAACAGGGGCTGCGGGTAAAAATCGTCCAGGTGGCCAGGCCTAGGCAACCCGGCAGTGATTGAGAACTTACCTCCTTAAGCTTTTTTTATTTAAAATGGCTTTCTTAAAAGGTAAAGCTTTTGCCCTATGAAGGTTTTCATGACCTGACTGGACAAAGCAACTTGGTCTTGCTTGGTAGCAGCCTCTGCTTTGAGCTCGAGGCCCCTGCCAACCTCGATTATCATGGGATCCTCTCCAGTTTGTTTTTTTTCTAAAAAGCTGTATGTTGGTCTGGCATATTTTGTAATCCTTTACCTCATTTCCACTCTATATGTAAAGCAGGGATTAACTTTTTGCCTGTGTGTAAATACGAATGCTTACTCCACTATGCATTAATCTGCTACCCATTGCTGCTTAGGTTTTCTTCACAAGCCATTCAAATCCTGTCTACACTGCTCTCTTCTAAGTAGATGCCTACTCTTCCTAGTTCATTCAGAGTTCAATCTAGGCATTTATTAGTTTCGTCTAATTCTTTACAGCCTCCTATGACCTGGCTACAGTTTGCTGTGGTGAGAATGGTAGTGACCAGCCTACAGTACTGGTCATTTGGTTGCCCTATTTTGTGAAAAATGCAACATGGGCAAGAGGGTGGTTTGCTAATTTCCAAGAAGCAAGATTTGAGTCTCAAAATACACACTGAGAAATGCAAAGTTTTTTAATTAAATGAGGGATGAATCAGCCAGTTGCTCCTAGTATCCATTTCCTACGGAAGGTATATGTAGGAGTCTCAGTAAACAATGAAACTTAAAGCACCCCTTTACTCTGTAGATACAGGTCACTGTGAGAGTGCTAGCAAGCAGGACCATTGGTAGCTTCCAGGTAGAAATTAGTTCATTGCCTTGTTGCTGTTACAACACCTGGTGATAAAAGGGTGCTGCTGGCAACAAGAGCAAATGTGTCATATAAGCTGGCAAATCTCATTTGATTTGCAATCCTCACAGCAATATATGTAAAAAGCTTCAGCGGGGTCCTGCATATTGGAACAGTAGTCCAGCATGAGCTTTTAGAGAAGTCTGAAATCTTGGTATAGGTTACATAGTCTAGAAATGTGATACTGTCATCTCTGGACTCCAAAATACACTGAATTGTATGTCTAATCATTTCTGTTTCTATAGAAGACCATGACATTAAAATCCATCTAATTCTGCATGTTGTATTTTGCTTAGTGCTTTTACAAGGGCTCATGAGTTCCCCAGACAAATGTGGTTTAGCAAATAAAGTTTTCCTTTCTTTTATAGTATTCTGTTTCTGCATGGATGATCCACAGTAAAAAGGAAAAAAAATACTATGATCTCAGACATTTTCACACAAGATAAAGCTGCTTCTAAGTGAACATAAAAATCATTCCCATGTCAGATCATGGAAGAACACAATTTTTACGGTATCAGAATTTTTTAAAAGCTCTATAATAGATAAAATGACTGCATTTTAAATTACTGTATTAGTCAGAAGGCAATTTTGTTTAACAGCAGGATTACACATTGAAGTAAAAGTCATGGTTAGTTATTTTTCCAGTTTGTACTTTGGAAGTGTCATCTGACATCCCAAACAAATTTAACAGTACTTTATTTTGCTGGCAGTTTCCAGCAGAGCTGAAGCATTAATGAAGAAAGACATGATCCTTCAAGAGATGTACTTGCTCTGAGTGGACCCTCTGTATTCCACAGAAGTACTCAACAGTGCTCAGACACAGGCAGTTGTGTCACTCCCTGTGGAGGGGAGGCTTTAGTTTGCAGTCCTCGTGAAACAGTCACTTTTTCAGGTCATCACATGAAAAGTTTGTGACTTACCCACACTTACAGTGCTTTCAGGGCTACTGGGGGAAAATGGCTTGTTCTGTGGTGGAGCTTGCTGGACAGCACTTCTGCAGTCACAAAGTTTATGAAGATAAAATCATTAGCCTTGAGGTTATGACACAAGCAGCTTCATTAGGCAGTCATATTTTGTCTCAGATTTGAAACAATACTAAAAAACAAGTTGCAGATTAACGGCTTCTATTAATAGGATAAACTTGCATATAGGAAACTAATTTTGTTTATGACATAGTAGCATAACAAGAGTCCAGATTTTGAAAGCTGAAAAGACATAAACTTTAAAAGCAAAAGAAGGCTTTATTGAGATAAAGTATCTTACCCCTGGCAAATATTTAACCTTACCTGGTGACTATCACTTAAGCCCTCTAAACAAACTACAGATTTTCTTAAAAGATGGGCTATAAAGATTTTGGGGGTCTCATATAGCTGTTTCTGCAACAGGCTGCTTGATCTGTTTTGTAGATTTGACTGTGTGATTGTAAGAGTCTTTTTGTTCCTCCCTCAAAATTAAAAAATCCTGCTCAGGTAGGAGAGCTTTTTGAGGCGTGCTGGACTTTGGGAGAGGTGGAAGCAACTGCAGAAATAGAATTGTCAAACGCACAAATGGTATCCTTTTCCTCATTTTCAATTAGAGCAGATTCAAGCATGTTAACAGCAGCAGCAAGTTGTACCAGTATTTCACAGACCAGCAATTCTCCGTTTCACACTCTGTGCTCCCAGAAGGTTGTTACAAAAACACCACCTAGAAGTTAAAAGAGACACTTGGCATCTCTGCTGCGGCTCCTTTGGCCATGGCAGAGCAGGGGTCACCACGTCTGCTGTTGGCAATACCTGGCAGTCAGTTTGAGCAAAGGTGGGGAATGGGGTCACCCACAACTACCCTGTGGCTGCTGCGTGGACCTCAGTGTGGTCACTTCAAGGCCCCTTTGCCTGCTGGGGGTGGCTGACCATAGCAGAAGTGACCTGCAGGCAGAAATCAGGCACCAGTGTAAGGGGCAACTATAGCAAAGTAGGTGCTGGAAGAGGCAAGTTGAAGGCCTGAAGATGTTACTGTGTAGTTGCTTCCTCCTGCAAAATACCAATGTGCTCATTTAGAACCCAGCTAACAGACATACATAAAGGTTTGGATGGTTGGTTTGTTTTTTCCTTACTTATAACAAGGATAATTTCACAATGCAGTTAGGCTATGAGCTGCTACTGAAGGAGGACTGGGGGAGTGGTGTCTCTGATTCATGAAGGAACAAATCACACTCCAAACACTGCTTGAGAAGTTAAGCAAATACATTCAGAAGAGTTCAGAACTATATTTAAGCTGATTTTTTGGGAAAAAAAAAAAGTTACTGTCAAATTAAATTACATGAAACGTTCTTCTAATATAGTATCAGTGAGCTGTAATGTATTTACCAATTTCAGCTGCAGGAAATGGCTAACAGTTGGATTCTTGAATGACTGCAAGTGTTATATATGGACAGAGCGCTGCCCCCACATGAGGTGTCACTTGCACATTATTGTTCCAGTGAGGCATCCATCAGAACATTAACCTTTCAAAAGTGTCTTTTTTTCCTCTTGCTTTCGCAGTAAAGATGAATTTTGTGCTAATAATAAAAAACCACTGTTGGGAGTTATTTCTTATGCTAGCTCAGTCTGAATATCAATGTCTCTGAGAACATAACGAGGTGTAACTTGTGCTTTAAATGTGTTTTCTTACAGTTGTTCTCTTT